CCTAAGGCAGATTTACCATTAGAGCTACTAATTATGACCAGGCCCTTCCACTCCCAGGCCTTGGTCTAGATCTGGATCTACTGGATCTGGAAACCAACTGAAGTCTAAATTTCCTGCTTTGTGAACCCAAAGTCAACTCAATCCCCAGACCTAATTTTTCTCATTGCTCATTTATCCTCTACAACCCCTAGAGCTCCTAGCCTTGTGACTCTTAAAAAATCAGCCCTCAAAACGAGGCCAGCAGGACCCAGCAGTCATCCATTCCCAGCAGCTCCTCCTGGTTCTGAACTAGCCTTCCCTGGAGACACCACAGCCCAAGGCCTCCAGCCCATCTGAGAACACAAAGTTAACATGATACTAACTTACAAGAAACACATGGTGCCTGCAACCTGCCAACAAACCAAGCCCACATGCTTCTGCTTTCCTGTGCCCCAGTCCTAGCTGTGGTCATTATAGTATTATAGCTACTGTATGGCCTCAAAATAAGTTAAGATAGCACTTGCCCTCAACACAAGTTTTTTACCTCCTTCCCCTTGTTTTTAGGATTGAGAGGACCTTGTATGGCCAGGCAAGTTTCCAGAGTTACCTCTCTGATGTTGATCCCCAACACCAAGAGATATTCAGACAACTTCAGACAACTTTCAGAAATTGGAAGAGTAAATCACTAGATTTGCTTTTTTCCTCCTCCATGATTACTTTTAACACCCACTATCTCGTGGTATTATCAAATTAAGAGTCACTGTTGTGTTATCTGATCCATACTTTTTTGTTTACCCTCTAGTATTGTCAGAAAGGATTTATTCTCTCTCAGTATAATCTATCTTTAAGTTTTTATGAAATACTTACCTCCCTCTATGAGTGGAACTCACATGCCCAGTTTCAGCATTTGAAGTTAACTGCCAGTCAGTCAATCTGAACTTCCCTTGTAGTCAAGGGAAATAATTAGGCACCTTGGGAGGCTGATTCAACTAATTCTAAGATACTTATCTAACACAAGGCATATGAATAGCCCTGTGAGGCTGTGTATTTCTTTCCACTGGATATAAAGGGATTCAAAGGGAAAAAAATACATTTAAAGGTTTAACTGTAGATTTTTAAATCAAGCAAATTAATCCACCTAACCTGCTGTTGTTGTTGTGCTTTCCTCTGACAACATTGCAACATTTGAGCATTTTAATGTATGATTCACATGGAAAGCAAACACATGGAAGCTACTGCAGTCACTGCCACTACTCAGGATGAAGAACAATAAAATAAATTCCTGATGTCAAAGGGGTATCTATTTCAGATAACATCTCCTTTTGCTCCCCTGAAAGGCTTAAAAGCATCAAGTGAGATGTCTTTAATTTTTTTTACTGTAACACATTAACGTGTTTCCCAGAGACAGAAGCCAATTATTAAATGAGGAGCATTCCAAAATGGGCAATAACACTTATTTTTGTTATAACCAAAAGAATAAACAGACATCACTAAGTAGCAGAGAAGTCAGTATTTTAGTCAAACAGATCCAGAAAGTTCCATACATGCAAAACATAGCATACCGTACAAAAAACAATGTCGAAATCATCAATTTTTGAACTTCTTCCCAGTTTGAGAATAACAGTGCCATGAGAACTTATCTGCTCTACAGTGCTCCACAAAATACCACAATTCTGACAATACCTAGAATTCATAACCTAATCTTATCAGAAGGAAAACACACTTTGGTGCAAATGGAAAGAACCACCCCTGGAACCTGGTGCAGCTGTTCTGCCTGATGGTGTAGATGCACAGTCCTTTATTAGTTTGGCCCTGCAGTGCTGAAGTCAATAGGAACTTTGTGGATCATTTCAGTGGAAACAGATTCTGTGATAACACGAGCCTCTAGAGAGGAGGGAAACTCCTTCCTTTATGAGTAAATACAGAACACTGACGCAAGTTTAAAGCGCAGAGAAAGAAAAGATGTGGTGGATATAGCTAAGCTCCTTCAAAATGAAAACATGGCCTAGAGTATCTCACAGATTTTTTCCTAGCTGCAGAACATCTTGTCTTCAAAGAAATCTGTCCAAATCCTTCTCATGCTAACTCTTCTCATGACTGACTAGATTGTATAATTTAGGTTGATAGGAGAAATAAGATTAAAAAATCCTTCACCTGTAACAATTTAAACTGTCAAACCATATCTTAATCAAATGCCTACTCAATAAGCATTTAAAATCTATTTCTGTTGAATGAACAAATAAAAATGTAGGATGATGTTTTACATTTCTTAAAAAATTTTAGTCAATGTAATTGTAATTATTTTGAATACTCGGAAGATATTAAGAAGTGTAACTTTGTCTGTGCTTGTGCAAGCACATGCGGAGGGCATGGATGAAGAGAGAGACAAATTTATGAAATGGAAGAAGCAGATGCAGGAGGTTATGGCTGAGGCAGCAGCCGAGGAGGACATGTTCTGAAGATACCCAGCATGGATTTGTGAAGACAGAGACTGTTGACTTAACAGAGACTGATTCAAGTTGTTGATACAAGTTAAATATTTATTATACCACAGTTTATACCAAATGGTATTGTAATTTTCCCCTCACGTTTATCCCCTATTTTTTGATTGGTTGTGAGTTGCTGCATTGCAGATACTCCCCTCACTGGCCCCCACTAATCCTCTGGTACCTCCTTCCTCTCGTGATTGGTTGTTGTTCCTGCCTGTCCTAGGCTCCTCCCCAATTTCTAGAATCTTCCCACGTGACTCTATAAATAGAGCTAGCGCCCCAGAATAAAGTTGCAATAGCTTTGAGCTACCACTCTGTGCGAACCCCCTGGCTGTTGCATCTTCCTTTCCTTGATGACTGCCGCAAGCACAAATCTAAAAATTCACACATACAAGAAAACATATTATTCAGGAAGAATCTTGCAAAAATTAATGAAAACTTAGTAAGTACAATACATGGCAATTAAGTTTTTGAAAGGGATAATTAATTTTTGCAAAGACTGTAAGTGCCCTCTTAAATAAAAATATTTTGATATCAGATATACTAAGGTATGATTTGAGATAATTTTTCTGCAATACATTTTCTATTGCAAAAACTACCGTGCTTCTCAAGCAACATTATTTTCTTTTAAAACATGTTATTTTAAAATTAGAAACCAGACTTGAAAAAGGCAAAGATTTCAAAAGGTTTCACTCATCTACAAAACTATTTTTCAAATGTCATCAAACAAAATGTTATCTTAATCAAGTAAAAATGACATGTTCCCAATCCTGAATTATTCAGGAATCCCTCAGTTGACCATTTTTTCCAGTACAGTTAGGAGGCAACCATCTCTGCCATGTCTCCAAGACAATGAAATGAGAGTAATCTCAGCACAGAGCACATCAAAGCAACAGCCTGACTTACTTTCTCTGAACTGCCTGTGCGAGGAACCAATTGCCACCTTCCCCTAAAGAAAGATCAACATTGAAAAAATCTCCTACAGTATGTCTCTGCGTTAACACCATGTGAATGCCCACCACAGCATCCAAAATCCAAAAAGGATGAAAAGTAATGCTGTCCTGAAAAACTGGTTCACTAAAAACATACTTTTAGTGGCAGGTCATAGGAATTGGGAAAAACAAATTTACTCCCTTTATCAGATTAACCTCACTAGGAAAGAAAAGGCTGAACACAATACACCTCAGCCATACCTACTTCCTACTCCCACCATTTTACTTTCGGTGATGTCTGCAGCACAGCACTTAAGATAAGGGAAGGCCAGTTTCAGTCTCAAAATGAATGTTCTTTCTTCTGGTGAAACATTTAGTATAAGCATGCATTCAGGGGCTTGTTTGCTATAGCATTTCCTTTCATCTAATCAGTGTTTAACCCATTCACCTATGAAAGCAACATAGAGGTTGCTACTTGATTTCATAAGACTACAAATCAGAAACCAAATCTGTCACACATACACATACATGCAAAATAATAATCCATCTCTGCTTCATAGGAAACTATCTCAAAGAAAAAGTAATCTTAATGCGAATAAAGACTGCTGATAACAGAAAACAGTTCAAACTTAGAGTGGAAGATAAATAATGTTAATTAATAATTATTGAAATAATTTTTAAAAATTCCTTTTTCTTTTTGTGCATGTTTTGGCTGGGATGGAGTTAATTTTCTTCACAGTGGCTAGTATGGAGCTGTGTTTTGGATTTGTGCTGGAAACAGTGTTGCTAACATAGGGCCTTTTTCATTATCAGTGCTCACACAGTGTCAACATCTCTTCCTGCTCAACCCACTCGACCAGCAAGGATGCCGGGGCTGCACAAGAAGTTGGGAGGGGACACAGCCAGAACAGCTGACCCCAACTAACCTCAGAGATATTCCATCCCAAATGTCACCATGCTCAACATATAGAACTGGAGGAAGATGGTGGTAGGGGAACGGAGGACATTCAGAGTGATGGTGTTTGTCTTCCCAATGTTTGTTACACATGATGGAGCCCTGCTTTCCTGGGGATGGCTGAGCAGTTGCCTGCCCTTGGGAAGCAGTGGACGAATCCCTTGTTTTGCTTTGCTTTTATGGGCAGCTTAGGCTTTCCCTATTAAACTGTGTGTCAGCCCACAAGCTTTTTCCCTTTCACTCTTTCCCATTCCACTGGGGGAGTGAGTGAGTGGCTGCATGGGGCTGAGCTGCCAGCTGGGGATAAACCACAACACTTTTACAGTTTAAATAAAAGCTTCCGAATTACTGGAAAAATGTAGACATTCACTTGTAAAATTATGAAATACATCAAGATGAAAGCAGCTGTTAGAACACAGTTAAGCATTTTAAGATTACATTTGTTCATCATCATCATCATCATCATGGCTAGGCTTCGGAACGAAGATTTGGGAAGGCTCTATCCACATTTGTTACAGGCACGCTGGTTGCTTATGAGGCCAATACGTGACAGACATATCCGATTGCAAAAGGCACAGCAGAAAGACTCCTTAGATGGTGTATTCTGCAATACACGGTTCTTTCTGCGTTGCCTTTTTTCCTCGAGGGTGATCCTGCGTGTGTTCTCAAAGGAGACAGCTGCGTTATAGATGGTGTGTCTCCAGGCCTCCCGATTTGAGGCCATTTGTTCATAAGCTTTTTACAATCAGCTCTTGGCTTTCTTCTCCAAAAACATGGGTGGAGCAACAACTCAGGTCATTGATTTTTTAATTTACAAAAGAAAACTAACTTCTATTCTTTAACTTTTGTGGGTTCTCCTACCACTAAAAGAAAACAAACAAACAAACACAAAGCAAGATAAACACAATAAATAACACTAGTTCTTAAAACAGGATGGCAACCCATGAGGCTGTCTTATCGGGCTCTGATGAAGAGGGTTTCATCAGGAGTTGTGGGACAATTGTCCTTCTCAGTAACAGTCTCTACTGTACCTGAAGCAGACACAATCACTACCGTTTTAGCTGCTGAAAGAGCTTTCTCCTTCTCTGCGATGGCAGCACATACTGCCACAATTTCATCACTTTCAAAGTCATAGTCAGGGATTGGTTCTTGTGCAAGCTCCTTTTCTTTCACTAGTGCTTGCACTGATTCAGTCTTTGTTGCCTTCTGCTGTTCATGTAGTTTTCTGGCCCAGGAAAGGTCCTCTTTCCATACTTCGGGGTTCATTGGAAAGATGTGTAAGGATACCTGGAAACTTCGGATTGCCTATAAACAGAAGAGGGAAGAAACAAAGATTGGACACTCTAAAGTCTACCTATTTCATCATAAAAATTGACAACAACAAAAAAATTACATACATCATTCATTCAAAGACAAAAGCCATTTTACTCCAAACTGTCTTTACTGGAGCAACCCTCCCTCAGCTTACATTCCATAGCAGCATCACTCCCAAACAACTGTGTCTGAAAGTATGAAAACGCATAAACAAAACAGATACCTGGCAACAAGGGCACAGATAAAGAGTTCATGTATATGAAAAACAGTATTGTAATTAAAAAGGTAAAAGCAAAAATAATTTTTTGGTTTGATGGTTTTCTTTTCCACGTCTCTCTCATCATCAGATGTATGGAAAGGCAAAAGCAGATATGGTTTAAAGAAATATAGAAAAGGTATGACTGGAATTTAAAGTATCGCTAATATTGCTGCTTTTAAATTAGCATACAATCACTTCATATACAGACCTAATACTAGAATAATAGTAGCCCCATGACAAGCAGTTTCTGTAACAGGTTTGTGCTTGCAAAACCACCTAAATAAATGGGTAAAAGTAGGCAAATAAACTCTCAACTCGGAGAGTTCCTCTCAGAAAGAACTCCTATAGTCTCATAAACCATGTAATATTAGTAACAAGTAAGTAAAGTTTATACTGATTCTCCTTTCATGCAGTTCAACTAGGAAAAGACTCAAAAATCTTCAGCACATAAATTGTTAAATATATAAAAAAAAAAAAGTGACCATCTAAATCCAGTAGATGCGCTGTTTGACAGTAAAAAGAGGTTGCTACAATACTGGAAAAAAGCTAGACCAAGAATTACAAATGTATTGTATTTTAGTTTTTTTAACAGTGAAAAGGTAAAGACTGACCTTACTTACTCAAACTTATGTGCATCTGTACAGAGACGTGTGTATTTCACATTTATGACTGTACAGCCAGATACAAAAATGGTCATGGTAGTGACCAAACTCTTGTGTGAGAACATACAGAAGCCTTCCTATAGACTGGGAAAAGAGTGATTATATGGATTATTATATAGATTTGGATAATATTTGAGAAGAGTTATAGCAATTTGCATATTAAGACTTTAAAGACATAAGAACAACCATCAGATTCCATATTCTATTGTAATTTATAAATACTTAAAGCATAAAAATTAATTTGCAAAATCACAAGCTTTCATCTGCATTGACAGAAACCGATAGTTCGTACTTCTGATGGCACAGAGGAATATATGAACCCTGTATGACGTGAACTCAGAAGACAAGGGATACAAATCAGAATAAGAAATTATGATTATGCTACCAGTATTATTGCTGTTGTAATAGGCAGCCTTTCAGTTCCGGGGGAAAAAAAATACTTTGGTTATTGGTCAACAGCCAGCTCTGAAGTGTAGGAGCATGTTGAACTTTAAACAGAAGGAGGAGTGCAGTTTAATTCTTGTAAACCAGTGTCATTTTATTCAACTCTGCTAGCTTTTAATTTTCAGGGATAGATGAACTCCAAGTAAACACTAAATGCTCTTTTTTGTATTTCTGTTGAAAACAAAATATAAACAAAAACCATCTGCTTTTAAGCTTTCCATGGAAGAGGTCCCCTGATTAAAGCTTGTCTATATATAGTTACATTCATGCACAATAAACAATGTTAAACACAGTAATAAAATACAAGGTAAGCTTTGAAAAAAATCTTACCAAATAAAGCTTTGAAGCTGCTTTGATGATTCATAAAGCATAAAAAGATCATCTTAGTAAATCAATTAGAAGAAAGTTTTTGTGTGTGACATTTTTACAAAGAAATAGTAAAATAATAAATTTTTAAGCGCTGCAAAAGATCAGAGGGATTAATTTGAAAGCAGCAATGTAGTACTGAAAAATACAGACTTATCATAGATATAAAATTTTACGCTGCCACTGCAACTGCACCTGAAGCCACTAATTTATTTTAAGACAGAAGAAAAGAAGAGTGCTACTTCTAAATCTCCCCCTAATGGAGATGTAAATCTCCTTTGCCAACTGCCCGTTTTATTATAGGAAAACATGGTGACAGTAGATTAAACTGGTATTTCTAGCCTCATTTTAAAGGGCAGCTGTGGTTTCAGAGATCCCACATGTAAGGACTACAGGACTTTAGATCAGTACATAGTCATGTATCTGGTTTTGCTTCTGCAGGGAGGTGCAATGTAAAATCTACTGCAAGATATTTTTGCTTGTGGAATTAAAATATTTGAAAAATTTGTATTTTTAAAGTATTTTGCATTTTATCTCACTAGACAGTATTCAGCAGAAAACAATCTTTCATTTGTCCCATGAGCAGTCTCTTCTGCTAGTCTGCACAGTCGTTCAATGTGAAGGGCAGTTTTGATCAGACTGCAGTTTTTACAAGATTTTATAACTCATGGACTTAGCAACTGTCACTATACAGAAACCCCTAAAAAAGGTAAGGGAGCATTTTAAGAGGTTATGCAGTTTGCATCTGCCACCAAAGCATGTATTAGGCCTTTATGTTACACCTGAGAGACACTTTCTGACCTATTTTAAAGGATGTCCACCGATGAAGATATGCATACATCTACAAACAATCTTCTTCTGTGTTTAATGATTTTTAATACGGATTTTTTTTGTTCATTTGTTTTTTGTTTTTACAGCATTCAACACAGTACTTGGGGTTATGGTGCATGAAAACCTGGACATGAGCTAGCCATGCGTGCTTGCATCCCAGAAAGCCAACAGTGTCCTGGGCTGCATCCAAGCAGAGGGGGCAGGAAGTCGAGGATTCTGCACCTCTACTCTGCTCTGGTGAGACCCACCTGGAGCACTGCATCCAGCTCTGGGGTATGAGTACTTTTACCTTGCAAACCAGGACACTCCAGGAGACTAAAAAACATTCACCTCTCTATTACCAAATTCTACTGCTAAAATTATTACAGGAATTTCAAAACAATTGTACAACAGACTTTCTGCCACATCCCAGTTTGTCTTATCTTGTGCATCTGTTTTAGCTAGCACTTTTAATTACAAGGTCAAAATGTTCAGAAATGTACTTCTCAAAAGTTCAGAGCATCTGCCAAAGATGCTCAGAAGACACCAGCTATATCAGTTGCAATCACTTGCAAGAACTCAGTACCCCTGGCAGAAATGTACCTGAAAAGGGCATTTCAACTTTTGGAGACTTGTTTGCCCTTCTGCTTTCTTGATGGAAAATCTGATTAGAAAATCCTTTCATTCATTAAAAATTATTAGGTGGGTTAACACAAAACACATTTACGATTTCCAACAGCAGTTGAAAAAAAAAAAAAAGGATTACACTTCAGGACTAACACAGGACCTTTCTGGGGAAAGTAATATAACTGGTTATTACTTATAATTCAGTAGGACTGTTAAAATCTGTTGAAAAGAATATAACGGAACCCCACTTTAACTTACAAAGCATGGCATTTTCTCTCTAACTTAGTATTTCCCAAATACTTCAGCTTTTCAGTGGAAGGCCAACCATCAGCTTCCTTTTGATTACCAAAATTTTTTACATTTCTAAATGCTAACACTGGTAACATTTTGAAAAATTATCTCAAATTCAGAATTAGTTATATTAATTAGCTGGATTCCAATAAATCATTTCTCTCTTCGGGAGCACATAACTCCCATCATTATCTACAATACCTAAACTATTTCTTTCAAGAGAAATAAAAGAAAGGGGTGATCTCAGTATTCATATTCCTTTGACAAAATGTTGTCACACATAAAGACTGCTAAGCCACTAACTGTTTAGTAAGAATACAACAAACCACATCCTTTGAAATATCAAACAAAAAGCATGCAAAAACTGGTGCATATTTACACATCTACCCAGTTCACTTTGTAATCCTCAGTACTCCAGATCTGACAGGGACCCAGAACAGGGTCAGTCACAGAATCATAGAATGGCTGAGGTTGGCCAGGACCTTCTGAGGCCACCAGGGCCAATCCCCTGCTCCAGCAGGGCCACCTGCAGCTGCTTGCCCATCACCATCTCCAGATGGCCGATGAATTTCTCCACCATGGGAAACTTGTCACTTTTGTTTGGTCCTCTCTTGCTTGGGATTTTTTAATGCTGCTTCTGTTTGGGCTGTTCTTTTTTTCCTGTTTAATCAAAGTATGGGGCTTACTCTGTTTCACAGGAAGAGCTGTTCTAATGAAGCTATGTGAATGTTGTTACTGGTTAAGATGTCATCACCAATACAGTAAATATAAGTTGTAAACCCAAATATTTACAATTAAATGAAATATTGAAAGCCTGACTAAATTTCTACAGTTTCTACATTCACACTGCAACTTTACTCAGTTGTGCTCTGTACAATGATGTGTAGAATTTAAGGAATTTCTGTCTTTACAGAAATAAAGTTCTCCTAGCTCACATTTAAGTAGTACTGTTGAATTAACCTATTTAGTAAATTCAGAAAAAAAAAAAAAGCAAACAATTTTTAAAAAAGTAAAATAAAAAGGGACTAATTTACATCATTCTTTCTATCACAAGTTTGACAAAAACTAAATCAAAACAAATCTTTATTTGCAAAAAATGAATATGTTAGTTCATAAATTAGATTTGTTTGGAAGCTGTATTTTAGACCTGGGAAACTTCAAATTAAAATACAATCGTTTTTTTCCTCTATGAAAAAATGCATCATCCCTTGTGAAGTAATAAAAATATTTACAACAGACCATTGGTAAGATGAGGGTAATGAAGACAGACACTGGTTGGGGAAATGAAACAAGAAACAGAAGAAGCTGCTTTTGAGAAGGGTACTAATTTCCAAATCTCAAAGAAACCCACTAAAAAGCCCTGACACTTATGCTTTATTAATTTTTCTTTGTAAAAAAATATAATACAGGGAAAAATTAGAAAATCATGGCAATGAAAGACTAGAGGAAAAAGGATAATTATGACTTAGACCACATGGGCAAGAAGCCTCCACAGGTTCAATAATTATGAACTCATTTCATATTTTAAAACTCCTTCAGTCTTAACCTTTTAAAATTCCTTAAAAATTGCTTGGTTGACAAACAAATAGTGAACATTATCTACATTTTTGGACAACTCCCCAAGTTCTCTGTATGTGAGAACATATTAATCAGAATCCATTCTGACTGGTGTGACATGATTTGCCTACGTAGGCAAAGCTTACAGGACCTAGTGAGCAGACCTGGTCGTAAAAGTAGTATGGATATATCACTATTTATAACTGATATTACAGCAGCTGTAGCTTTTTCTACAGAATAAGAAGCATTAGTTACCCAGGACCCTTGAAGGAAATAAAACTTTGAATTTCCTGAGCCTAATGCATTTAGAAATCTTGGACATAATTTACAGCAAAGGTTTCATCCCTTCCTTAAAAGGAAAAGATCCAGACAGAACAGACCATCTACCCCTACCTTCTACACCACAAAAGCCATGGAATGTCACCAGTGTTGTAATGCAGATATGCATGGATTTATGTGATATATTTCATATTATGATACTATAACAACAAAGGGAGCACTCTGCACATCTGCAATGCACAGTTTTGCCTTAGGTTTTGTCTACGGAGACTGGAGCACCTCCTCTACAAAGACAGGGAAGCTCAGGCTGTTCAGCCTGGAGAAGAAAAAATTGCAGGGAGACCTCATAGCAAACTCCCAGTATCTGAAGGGGGCCTACAGGAAGCCAGAGAGGGACTCTTCATCAGGAACTGTAGTGACAGGAGAAGGAGTAATGGGTACACACTGAAAGAGGGGAAATTTACGTTAGATTTTAGGAAGAAATTCTTTATTGTGAGAGTGGTAAGGCACTGGAACAGCTTACCCGGAGAAACTGTGGATGCCCCATCCCTGGCAGTGTTCAAGGTCAGGGTGGACAGGGCACTGAACAACCTGGTCTAGAGGGTGGTGTCCCTGCCCACAGCAGGAGGGTTGGAAATAGATGATCTTTAAGATTCCCTCCAACCCATACCATTCCACGATTCTGTAATTCTAGGTTATTCCCATTGTTTGGGTTTGTTTTGGTTTGTTTGTTTAAATACTGCTCCTTACTATACTTTAAAAATTAGTTTTTTGGTTTTGAAATGTAAGCAGTATCTTTTCTTATCTGAGAGCTCATGATGAGTTATTCTTCTAATGGACTTTTGTGAATGTGTCTGAATTTAAAACGTCATTTGCTGTGTTTCCACACCAACTAGGAGAAATCTATTATACTCTATATATTACAGTATTTACACACAGCTGGTAATATGACATAGGGGGAAAGTCTCCCTTTGCGTTACATCATGAACACAAGATAGCACCATGGCATACAGCTGCAGCTAGAAAAAAGATGCACTTCATCTACTACTACAGAGCATCCCTGGCTTTTTGCTGTGTTACTAAGTGAAGAAGCAACTTCAGCCACCATTTGAGGTCAAGGAGTCAGAGGAAAGCAGGAATGAGAACACATGATTTGCTGCATGTGAAGCAGGAGAGCAGGAGACAAGGAAAACAAGAAACCAGAATTTTATCAGCAGGCATGTATAGAAGTGAGCCTCAATATCAACTGGGACTTCACATTATGTTCATCTTTAAATTATGGTGACCTGTAGCAGTATAGCACCTAGAATATGTATTTATGTCAACATAATTATTCTACTGCGTAAAGCCACCATGTAAATATAGTATATAACACAAAAGTCTTCAAGCTAGGCAGGTCTTTCACAAGTCCAGCAACAAAACCGCACAGGAAGGATTTGTGAAAAGCAATAACGTAGAGAAAATTATGGGAGATAAGTAACAACAATCTTTTTCCTTGTCTACATTCAGGTTACCATCAGGATATACAGCTACCTTCATATTTCTGTTCTTTCCTTCTCATTCACAACTAATTCTGCTTTCCTACCAGTGCTATCTCTCCTAATCCAAGCTGGGCACGTCCCAAAGTCTGCCAGGCATCCCAGGAACGTGGGTTTCTCTGGACAGCCATTTCTGCTGCATGCACTGCTGGGAACACTTCATGTAAAGACATCAGGACCTATAAAAGAAACAGAAAAATAAGAGGAAGAAAAATAAGCAAAATTGAAAAAAAGTTTAAGTTTATTGGGATTACCCAGGCAGCAACCACTGTTTCAATAACTAAGGGCCAGTTCATCTTATCTTGCTTTTTATAGTTTAGTTGTCTGATCTCAGACAGTCACCCAAACTCACTTCTATCCCCATGGAGACAAACAGGCATGCTAGAGGCTGATTCACCTGAACTATTTAAGCAACTCCATTAGAAGTAAATGGAACTGCTTCTGATGGCATCTCCCCTTGTCTATAAACCCTACACTCTGTAAAAGGATTACAGAATACACCGAAGGACAAACACATGGAGAATTAAACACAATAAATGTGCAACTGTTGTTGAAAAACTCCTGGGTTGTATTTTTTCTTTTTAATAGAAGACTGGAACCTACCGAAGACAGTTACAGTGCACATGATATAATTACAGAAACAATCTCCTGTAATACAGCATGGAAAAAGACCTTAACAATGACTTGTATTTAGAGAGTAAGCATTCTGCAACAGCAAAGCCTAGTGTAGACATGAAGTCTATTTAAAGAAGAAAAAAAGTGGTTCCTGAAAGTGAAAATCTGTTATTCAGCAGTTACCATAGTATTTTTGTTCTTGCATTCAATCTCCATAACTAAGCCTATAAATCACAGTTAGCAATACTTAATGTGGCTCAAAGCTTGCCATATGTTTCCAAGACTACCATGAGATTGGCACATTATCTGAAAACCTGCATCACACTCTGAGGTCATGATTTCAGACACCCACATGCTGTGGTGGTAGACACCACTGTAAGAAACAAATGACAACTGCATTCCTGCAGTATGAGGAGAATGTCAACCACAAGAGTAAGATTCATGTGTGGGCAACCACTTTCATCCCATCTGACCCACAAGTATGATGAATAATTTTAGAACATATTAGTACTATTGCTGAAGTGCAAAAAGCATTTATCTAATCTTACTGTTCTAAGGTATATTAAATAGATAAATATGAGTGCAGAGTAAAGGAGGATTCAAATGGGATGATCTTCGGTATTTACTGTAATTAACGTAAAGTACTTGCACAGCACAGGGGTGAGTACACTAAAAAAAAGGGGGGCGGGGGAGAACAGAGGAAGGCAAGACTTACAGAAAGTAATCCTGTACTGAAGAAACCAAGACACATCACAAACAAAGCTTCTGATAAACCCTACATACTTCTGCTGTTTTAGTATGACTACATTTTTCTGAAGACTAATCCTACGGCTTCTCTTTGATTCCATTTAATGGACTGTACCTTAAAATTTAGAAGTACTTCAAAAATTTTTAAAAAACAACCCACAGTCATATGTCATTTTCCCCTTTTTTCCCTCAACAGTTCTAAATGACTGTGCTTTGTATCAAATGATATGTAATGAATGTTATGTATTTTTCCAAAACTTTCAGTGCAATTACAGGTTTGAGTGCAATTTCTCTTTTCTGCAGAAGATCTGTGAAATGAATCAAACTATTACTAGTGGACAGGTGTACATCCTACCAAGATTAAGTGATTCTGCACCTATCAGCTACCTTTTACATTAGTGTCTTAATGTGTTTATTCTCTAAAGAGAAAACAAAGAGTACACATTCACCAGAACATTTTTATGCATCCCAAGTATTCAGTACTTCTTACCAGTACTTTCTACTGCAAATTCCAAAATTCCAAAACATCTACGTAAATGTTTAGGGAGTCTTTTGTAGTTTTTAATGAATTTTAATGTTTTGTTTACTGAATTATGACCTCAGTAATAAAAGGCAATTATTCCACTTTCATCTATTTATGACTGTTGTGTGTACTAACGTAGACAGCTGCTTTAAAAATGCTCTTCCAGATCATGGTAGTAATTACTGTGCTCCTAGTAACTTTGGCATCAGTTTCTCAAAGTCCATTAAAACAAGTACATATTTGAATGCATATGCATTTTGTCCAGCATAGGTAGTTTTTTCAGTTATTAACAAAATGACTCAGCAATTCTTGTCAGTCATTGCAAAAGAATAAATTTATTAATGCACTCTGTTTTCCAGTACTCATCTCAAGAATCTCATTGTACATATATATACATGTATATATAAAACTGACTAGAGGGAAATGTCTTATAAAGATGTTCAGTAAGTGGATTTTCAGGACTTTATTCCAACAGATTTACCATTGTTACATGCATTAAAACAAACAACATCCATGTCATACAATGACTTAGTTTAACAGATATATCTTTAAAAGCCATACATGAGAGATTCGACGAATTAGAAGAACTCAGAGGCAAAAAGCTAGTTAAATGTAGCAACTAATATCAAGACACTGGCCAAGTATTAATAATCCAGGTAACGGAGTAAGTAGTGGGTAGAATCCTGTTCTACCCACAATATTTTGGAAGTTTTATGAATCTGAGTAAATTCTGGTTTTAAATGACCTCACTGGATTGAGGCTGAATCACTATATATAGATACATTCCAAGTCCAGTGAAACTAACCCAATTCCTTTTTCCATCCAGAAACCCATTTCAAAATACAGATGAATAAAATTCATCCTACCCATAAGCAGCTTACATTTATCCATGCTGTAAAGTGATTACCATTACACCACACAGAAATGCTTTTTTGCAATTTCGTTTTCTGGAGTTTACATGAATGTTCTGATAGTAAACTCGTCTCACTACACATCCCAACTTAAGGAAAAAAAAAAATTAAAAATAATCAGCGATTATTAGCGATGTTTTATAACCTAAACTTGGTTTAGGTCTGGTCTTGTCTTAGAAATCTCATAATTTCTTAAGTGGGAAGTCGTTCACCCAGTTCAAGATTAAAAAAACCTCTAGAAAAGAGGAAATGGAATTATCTGAATATGAGTGTGATGGGTTTCATCTACAAAAACAAAGAGGAGACATACATCTGAAATCCTGGTCCTGTTCAACGAATGCAAATTCAGGATGCAGCACTGTACAAAACTAGATCCTCATATCGCTGATGACAAAATATCTAAAAAGCTTATTGAGTGGAACTAAACCTGAATGTTTACATGTGAATTTACTTGTTTTTATAAACGTCTGTAAACAATTGTATTGTGTCCTTTAAAAATCCTGTCACAGTTGCATAGTGTGTTCAACTATGTTATCTGAGATCTGAGGTAGAAGTATCACTAGATAAGCACCACTAACCAGGTTTGTTCTCAGGAGTGGTACAGAATACCAGAATGTCTCATTTCAAGAAATTTGTTAGAAACATCACAATGTATCAAGTCCTTTGATATCTCTCTTCACACAGTAAGGAGTCCCACATGGTCCAGTCCCCAAATATTCAAACACAGATTTAAAGAATATGTTGAATTTTGTTCCTCCATCTTTGTAATTCAAAGCAGTAATAAAGTAATTCAGTCAATATCTAAGAAATTCAGCTCATAATTAGTTTCACGCATTAATACAGGCAGTCTTTATACATTCCTTTTAACATAGTTACAATGCTACGTATCTAACATTACAATCAACACTAGGCTGTTGTTGTAGGGTCTTTTTTAAAGATTTTTGGTTTTCAACAAAAATGTAAAAATGAACTTGCATAAACATTTACTTGCCACTCGTTCTTGCAATATGGGAGCAGCTGAGGCTGGTAATGGAATATCAATTATATATACAGACAGATCTTGCATGCAAAGAAAAGTGCACCCCTAACCTCTCCACACACCATAAAATCTGTTTTTAAGTGGGTCAAAGACTAGCTGAGGGAAATGGAAAAAAAAATCTCATCAACTTCTATGGGTTTTTGAAGCAGTTGAGCAATTCCACAATTCCCATGTGATTTTCTGGAAACACAGTTATTGCAAGTGTCTTTGACAACTAGGAACTTTAAACGCTATTTCCGCTCTTCAGAAATGCTAAAAGACATTTGTCCTACATCTGTTAAAATACAGAGCTTTAAGAACTTACCATAAACATTTACAGATTTCCTCTGTGCTGTTAGTATATTTATCTGAGCTGGATATTAAACAACACAGTATTGAAAATGTTAAATTTGCGGCTGAGAAAGGAAATACTCATGAACTGGGAAGCTGCTATATAATCCTATATAATATAGGATTATCTTAATAAATGTAACAGAATATTAGACAGATATTCAAGACCATGACAAACACTCCATCCTCCAATGTTAAATTCTCAAAAGAAATTACTTCATGAATAGACTTTTCCCTGCTGAAAGAAAATTAGTAGAGACCATAAAGAATCTTTGCGTATTGCACAAAGTCATTCTTACCATGAATCTCCCCCCCTATTATGTGACCCACATACCAACACAGGCAGATTTTTATAGACTCAGTGCCAGTTAAGCCCTTGCTGAAGTTGTACAGTTCTTCCAAAACATTTTCATTGAGCTACAGATGAACAGCCGCAGTATTTGCATTGGTATGCTGCACTGGAATAACACAGTCAGCTCTAAGACAGTATCAGTTAAATATTAACCACAATGTTTTTTTAATTAATTACATATTTTGGCAAAAATGGATTTTTACAGCTCACATTAGTGCCTTTAGAAGTAGAAGGGTATCAAATTACACGTTATACTAAACAGCTTCCAGTAAGCATAAGTCATACTGCAAAAAACATCTGTAATAATTATTTGCACATACGAAAGAGAGGTTGCCAATTGAAACATTAGATGTTTAGATGTTTGGTTAAAAAGATTCACTAAAGAGTTCTATAAATGTATATTCTGTACATAAGCTTTTCTTGTGTTCTCATTCACAGTGTAATAGAAGTGTTACTTGCCACTGGCTGCCGCAAGAGAGGAGCCCCGAAGAAAAGATACAAGGACTCCCTGAAACAACATCTCAGCCTTGGCCACATTGATCACCATAACTGGTCTACTCTGGCCTCCAATCGGGAGGTCTGGAGACACACCATCTATAACGCAGCTGTCTCCTTTGAGAACACACGCAGGATCACTCTCGAGGAGAAAAGGCAACGCAGAAAGAATCGTGTTCTGCAGAATATACCACCTAAGGAGTCTTTCTGCTGTGCCTTTTGCAATCGGATATGTCTGTCTCGTATTGGCCTCATAAGTCACCAACGTGCCTGTAACAAATGTGGTTAGAGCCTTCCCAAATCTTCGTTCGCGAAGCCCAGCCATGAGAAGTGTTACACAATGTAAGGATGTGAAAAAAAAAGAAAGAGTGAACTGCCTAGCCCTGCTCTCCTCTTCAGGAAAGCAAGCAAAGGCATGGTGGAAGCTGAGGCCTGGGTTCCTTTATTCTTTCTGCTTTCATTACTCTCCAATGGTTTCATTAGACAGGGAAAGATATTTTACAAGATTAATCAAAGTCACACAGCCAGTTTCTCAGCTGTAGTTCTTGCACACAACAACTAAACAATGTTGCCCAGTATCTGCTGACAAACACATTGTTTTTTTTTCTTAATTTCTCAACTGATAAAGAACTGTCATGTTTTACCTGTGATTTCATCTCATAAAGTGTAGCATCCTCTGGAGTTAATTGAAGTGCTTCATCCCACTTGAAAATAGCCTCTCGGTACCTGCAGTTAAAACAACATTACAGTGTCACTATATTTAAAGATACTGGATATTTCTATTTATATCCTGACATTGTCCTAAATAAAGTGCCATGGCATCTGATTAGTATTAATTATTTTTCTAATTATTTCCCCATAAGACATACTGAACTGTTTTCAGGAACTAGCCACTTGTTTTGACAGAACACATGCTAGGTACTACTATACAACTGGCCTCAAGTGAATTTACAAATAAACACAGGAAATCTGTAGCAAAGCTACATGACTTGATACAGTCACAATTTAAAACTTCTTTTTTGTACTGTAAGATACTGTAATAATCTAAGGACACCTAAGGAACTAAAGTATATAAATATAAAAAGTTGAAAGTAAACAGCTATACTGAAATCACTCAACTTTGGGAAAGCATACACTAGTTTCATATGTTGACTATCCTAGAAGACAGAACAAAACAGAAGAGTTGACCAAAACTAATAAAAATTAGCTCTTTGTCTTGAACAATGAGGTAAAACTTGATCAAATGCATACTATGGTTTTGCCCATATTGAAGAATTGTAATGGAATAGCAAGATCAGTTACAGGGGTACAGTCTTTCAGCCCTAAAGGTGGCATCAGATCAATATTAATGAGTCTGTGGGATACCACGTGTTCTCTGAATCTGTTTAAAAATCCACATTTGTTATGGAACTGTGCAGGAACTCCTGTATTTATATTAATTACACAGTAAAGGTATGAAAACAGTTCCTCTTGGTAGATATACATGCTGCAATTTTAATACAGTATAGATAAAACTACCGTAATTTTTACATGCACTTCATATGGAAACAGTTCTTATCTTCCCCTACTCCCCCTTCTTCCTTCTCTTTCCTTTCCCCATTTTTCAATCCTCTGGGTTTTATTACACCTCCAGGTTTTCCAGAGGAGTCACATGAAGACTTCAGAAAGTTCTGAACCAATTGAGAATAGAAAAATAAGACTGGAAAAGCAATGCAACTGAAGTCAAACTCTCCTTATGATTCAGGTTTTATTAGTTTGCAAATTACACTAGTAAGTATGATATTTGAGTCCTAAGCAAAGGATGTTCCAATAAAGCTCCACATTTCCTCAAAGTTCAGCCACCAGCTGTGCATTCTGTCATCTCAGCTCGTTCCTTATGGGCAGGTGTGTTCACTCTAAAAAACCATCATGATATTTTGTACATTTTAAGCTGTTATTTTGGTAGGGACTACTTTTTAAATAGAAGCTTACAGTTTTGTTCAAGACCTACCACGGACCTTGCACAACGAAGTCTACATGAGTAAGGGAAGTTCTCTGATCAGTTAGGTGGTATCCTGGCCATGCAGAAAGGTACAATATTACAAATGTAGGAAAAAGGTTTAGTAAAAAAAGATTTTGGAAAACGGACCAAATACGGTAATAACATCAGTAACCAGAGAGGAACTGGCATCTTGCAAGTAGAAAGATATAAGACAAAAATTTGCATTTCAGGAATCATAATTTTCACTTCTATGAACAGAACATTGCTCGAAGTGTCAATCTGAATGGAATAAAAATTCATAGCCAGAACATACTACCTCTGAAGGAAGCGCCAAATACAAGCTAATGTTCCCCCAAACCTTATTAGGTTTTGCTGCCAATTTGTCGGCAGTCTGCCAACAGAATAAAGATGGACAAGGGAAAAAAAGCAGCCCATTAACAGAAACACTACGCTATGTGTGGTTCTGTGTGTGAACAATAAGTTACTTAACTCTGTGAGCCTCAGGAAGCATGATCCAAGAGAATGGACAATAGAATGTCAGAATCACTTCCCAGCCTGAGAACACAACAGGAGAGGGCTGGTAAAGGAAAAGTTTTCTGCAGGTACACACTGAACTGACTGCTAAAAGGACTGACTACCAGTTCACAGTGTGGAGACACCGACATGGCTGTGAAATAGTCATCTTTTCAGTGCATGTATTTCCTTGAGAGGAAAGTCTGATAAAACATGACTGCTCTATTCCTTTAAATACGCAGAAAAAAGGATGTTTTCATTGCTGTTCCAGGAGAAACTAAGGTCCTTACTAAGAGAAACTGAAGCATGTTGCTTGCTCTAGTAACACAAATTTAAGAAAAAATCATTTAAGTAAAGATAGTCCATTAATGAAAGAATTTTATACCTCTCTCTTCTGAAGGAAAAGATTATATACTGTATTAAATATCAAATGACTGAAAAAGTTTCCTGGGAATATAAGGTACAGTTGTATATTCAATGTTCCAGTAAATGTTTTATGAAAACCATAAACCGTGGCTGAAATAAAAAGTGAGGTAACTCAGGAGTAGTGTTGTAAAATAAATAAATCATTTTATGGTTCCCAGTATCTTTTTTTGAGCTAAACTATACAGGACCTTTACCACTACGAGAAGGTAACTAGTTTTCAAAAGCTTCAACATAAATATAACATGTGCTTTGGATTTAATCAACACATATTTAATAGGCATTCCATTTGCTATTCCCATTTCTTTTCTTACAAATTAAACAAGCTCACATACAGTAGTGTGACTAGCAGGTCACAAGCATGTATGCATCAGCTGAGCTACAAAAACCGCCATGTCACAGCTGGAAAAACTGAAGTAATGAATTTTAGCTTAATGCTGCTTCACCAAGGTCTGCCAGGACTTCTTCCCATATGTCTGATATGGAGAGAGAGCACACGTTTTGAACACATGCTATGGCACTGCTGATACACAGCATCACAGAATATGCTGAGTTGGAAGGGACCCACAAGGATCAGAGTCTAACTCAACCCTGCACAGGACCATCCCCAGGAGTCACACCATGTGCCTGAGAGCATAATCCAAATGCTTCTTGAACTCTGTCAGGCGTGGTGCTGTGACCACTTCCTGGGGAGCCTGTTCCAGTGCCTAACCACCCTCTGGATGAAGAACCTTTTTCTAATACCCAACCTAAACCACCCCAACACAACTTCAGGCCATTCCCTCAGGTTCTGTCACTTGTCACCACAGAGAAGAGATCGGTGCCTGCCCCTCTTCCCCTCACAAGGAAGCTGAAGGCTGCAATGAGGTCTCTCCTCTGTCTCCTCTTTTCCAGGTTGAACAGACCAAGTGACCTCAGCTGCTCATCATACAGCTTCCCCTCAAGGCCCTTCATCATCTTCGCTGCCCTCCTTTGGACAGTCTCTAATGGCTTAATATTTTTCTTATATTGCGGTGCCCCAAACTGCACACAATGTTCAAGGTGAGGCCGCCCCAGTGCAGAGCAGAGCAGGACAATCCCCTCCCTCGCCCGGCTGGTGATGCTTTGCCTGATGCCCCCCAGGACAGAGTTGGCCCTCCTGGCTGCCAGGGCACTGCTGACTCATATTCAACTTGCCAGGAATCCCAGGTCCCTTTCCGTGGTGCTGCTTTCCAGCATCTTGCTCTCCAGTCTGTATGTAAACCCCGGGTTGCCTCATCCCAGGAGCATAATCCACCACCTGCCTTTTCATATCATTGGTGATTGCCCAGTCCCCTAATTTGCTGAGGTCTCTCTGCAGGGCCTCTCAGCTTTTGAGGGAGTCAACAGCTCCTCCCACTTTTGTACTGTCTGCAAATATACTTAATATCACTTCGAGTCCTGTGTCCAAGTCATTTATGAAGATGCTGAAGAGCACAGGGCCGAAGATGGAGCCCTGTGGAACCCCACTAGTGGCAAGTCACCAATGTGATGTCCCCCTACTCACTACAACCCTTTTTGCCTGACCCATGAGTCAGTTGTTCGTCCACTGCATGATGTGTTTATCCATCTGTGTGCTGGACATTTTGCCCAGAAGGATCCTGTGAGAGACAGTATCAAAAGCTCTACTGAAATCCAGAAAGATTACATCCACTGGCTTCCTTTGATCAGCTAGGTGGGTTACCTTGTCATAAAAGGAAATCAGATTTGACAAGCAATAACACACATTTGAATCTTGGGTCCCTTCAGAAAAAGGAATATGAAACCTAGCACTTACAAAACAAAAATAACTTGTCTCAAAAATAACATCTCAAAAACAAGAATAAGACTCAAAAAACCACAGATACATCCACTGGTGATCTATGATGTTATAAGCCTTCTTCAGAAATCTCTGGTATTTGCTCAAGTGGAGATTAATCTCAAACACTAGTTGGCTTGGGATTAATTAACCAGTTGGCTGTGGGCCTACTGACTATAGCTTTGCAGATAAAAGACTTGGGGGACAAGAAGCTGGGTGTGAGCCAGCAGTGTATCCTTGTGACAAAGCAGCCCAACAGCATCCTGGGCTGCCTTAACATCACCAGCAGACACAGAGATGATGTACCTTAACTCTCGTGGGACCACACGTGAAGTGCTGAGTCCAGTTCTTCTGAGCTGCCCAGTGTGACAGGGACATGGACATCTCTGGATGAGTCCAGCAATGGGCCACAAAGATGATTTAGGGCTTGGAGCACCTGCCATATAAGGAGAGGCTAAGAGAAATAGGACTATGCAACCTAGAGAAGGGAAGGTTCAAGAGGAATTTTACCAAGGTGCAAAATTACCCATTTGGAAGTGGGGCAGAGAGTAAAGAAGATGGAACCAGATTCTCCTCAGTCATGTCCAGTGACAGGACAAGAAGCAACAGGCACAAACTGAAGCACAGAAAACTCTGTTTAAACGTATCTCCATCGCTGGAGATATCCAAAATGCAACTCAACAATGTCCTGGGCAACTTACTGAAGGTGACTTTGCTTTGAGCAGGAACTGAAGTAGAAAATCTCTTAGTGTTCATTAGGATTATATGATACTAAGATATCAGCAACGTCAGTGTTACGTGATTTAAGATATGATTTTCTCTTCACTAAATGAAAACAAATTTTAAGCAAATTATAATCTTACAATAAATAGACCCATTCATGTTTAGATCTCTGGGATTACTACATATATTTATCTAATGTAACAGAGTCACAGAATATTAATAATGGACATACCCTAATTTTATAGATTATGAAATTAGTATTTCCAGAAA